TTCGGGCACGTCCTCTCTCGTCGCTCTCATATTCCTCTCTGTCTCTTGTCTTCTGTCTCTGTCTCTCTCTCTCTTGTCTCTGTCTCTCTCTGTCTGTCTGTCTGTCTGTCTGTCTGTCTCTCTCTCTCTTCTCTCTCGTCTCTCTCTCTCTCTTCTCTCCTCTCTCCTCTCTCTCTCTCTCTCTCTCTCTTCTCTCTCTCTCATTCTCATTGCCTTTCTCACTCTCTCGTCTGTCCTGCATATCTGGCTGTCTGTCTCTCCTCTCTTTCTCTATCTCCCACTCTCTCTCTCTCATTCTCCTTTCATTCTCTCTCTCTCTCTCTCTCTCTCTCTCTCTCTCTCTCTCTCTCTCTCTCTCTCTCTCTCTATATATATATATATATATATATATATATATATATAATATATTATATATATATATATAATTATATGTATGTATTGTTGTATGTGTGGCATTTCCTTGACACTCTCTCTCCTCTCTCTCTCTCTCTCTCTCTCTCTCTCTCTCTCTCTCTCTCTCTCTCTCTCTCTCTCTCTCTCTCTCCTCTCTCTCTCGCCTTCCTTCACCCGCCATCCTCTCCCACTCTCCCACTCGCCCAATCTCCCTCCCTCTCCATACCACAACCACCTCCTCAATCCCTATCCACCCTTCCCCACGTTCCCCCACCCCCAGACCCCTCCTCCCTCCTTTCCCTCAATCCCCCTCCTCCCCTCCTCTACCCCTAACTACCCCCTCCCAAAACCTCCACCATTCGCCCCTCCCTCCAACCCCAACTCCCTCCCCCTCCGCCCCCAGTTCCCTCCAGCCTCCCCCCCCCGCCCCCAGTCCCTCCACCCCTCCCCTCCCCTCCCCTCTCTCTTGGAACACAAACTATTAATGCTGTAATAAGTAAATCCCGGGCTTAATGGCGCGTGGATTGGCTAATCACCGCGGCGACAATGTAACAGAAGCCAGGGGCGCCGCGTGGAGCAGAGGGGACTGGGGGCGGGGAGTGGGCAAGATGAGGGAGTGGGGGTGGGGAGTAGGCAAGAATTGGGGGAATGGGGAGTGGCCAGATGTAGGGTGGAGAGGGAAGATGTGTGCAAGAAGAGAGGACGAGGGGAGAGAGGGAGGAAGTGAGAGGAGAGAGACGGGGACGAGAGAGAGATGAGAGTGGGAGAGGAGGAGGAGAGGGGAGAGGGAGAGAGGGAGAGAAAGGGAGAATTGGGAGAGAGAGGGTAGACTGAGAGAGGGAGAGAGGAGAGAGAGAGAGAAAGAGGGAGAGAGAGAAGGAGAGAGAGAGAGAGAGAGAGAGAGAGAGAGAGAGAGAGAGAGAGAGAATAGATAAATAGATAGAGAGAGAAAATCAGAAAAAAGATAAAAAAGCAGAGAATCAATACACCCCCCAATCACAAGCACGAAAACCCAACAAAAGACCCAACCCCACCGAAAACCCACTGTTATTCCCCATCACCAAAGATCCCAACAGCCATTCGTCGCACCTTTAACCTCCCCATTCAATGGCCCTTCTCGCAATGCAGGCCAATCCCCCTCAAAACCTCCCCGAAAATTCTGGCGAAGCAACGGATTAAACCTCTCAGCCTCGAGGCGCGGCATGATTACGCCAGTCAAAGTTGTCCCGGCCCTCTGAGCGGCAGTCCACTAGATTAATACATACGATCTACTCAGACAACACTTACACCAACAAGGACACGCTAGTTGCGGCAGTCGTAGAATTACACATCATCTGTTTCCACTGCGATGTTTGACGGCCGACAACAACAACCTGCTGACGTCACAAACGGTAAACCTTAGCGTAACTAACCAGCACTTACGAGGACGGCCGATAGATTTAGGAGAATAAGTATGCTTTAAGTATGTCCATTCTGAATAGCGGGTTAGAGTATATTAATTTTGAAGCATATGATCTATATTAAACAGTCCGAGTAGTAGGTGAAAAAGTTTCAATTATTTGCGTGAAAAAGTAAGACTAACAAGGGCCTATTTTTTTTTTTTGTACACTTTATCGATTATTATGAACACAAGCTTTGAATTTTCAACAATGCGGAATAATTCGTCTCTAGCATACGTGAAGGCATAACATTTGTGTAAATTGATAAGGATTTTCCTTCTATAACCGAAAAAAATTATTCTAAAAAAGTACCTTTCTGTTCATTAAAAGGCTAATTTTATACCAGACCTGTTCCTATCATTTTTTTCTCTCTATGACGTAAAATATGAAGCAACACGTAGCAATGACATACCCAGCTATAACTAGCAAGCAACTCATCCCCAATATCCTTACATAACCGAGTGTCTTTATGTTAATCTATGTGAGTATCCGCATCTCACACCAACATACCAACAACTTTCTCAATGGTAACCACATGATACGTGCATGTGTCTGTTATCAATGTTTTTTTTTCTATCCGTGTTGTATCTTTTTCTATTCATCTATCCATATGCAAATTATGTTATCTTAATTAAATTATGTGTCTGTTATCAATGTTTTTTTTTTTCTATCCGTGTTGTATCTTTTTCTATTCATCTATCCATATACACATACACTCACCGTTTCTATTAAAATGATTTACTAACGGGAGCATAATAACTTTATTTCTATATCCTATATAAAAGAGTGCTTGTATTGATAAAAAAAAAAAAATAAATAAAGAAAAAAAATACTGTGTGGCACATTATGTCAACGTTTCATCCCTATTTTATGAATAAACACAATAATGCATATGTTTATGTGAACATGTGTGTGTTCTATATGAATGTATGTGATCAAGTTAATTACATAAAAAATACATACATATACACTGTGTACAACTAGACGGAACTACACACGTTTCACTATAAATAATATCAAGCGTAAATTAAAACATTAAAATAACAAAAGGATAATACTGCAGAAAAGAACGAACATTCCAACAATAACGATAAATTACTAAAATCCCTATATATAGATGCGGGAACTCTTGTGTTTACTACTAAATAATATTAACGTTTTATTTGTACACGCCAAACAGATATGTAACTGAACAAGGATCCGTTTCATTCTTTTGCAAGC